CTTTTGGCAGAACAGAGAAAGTTGGGCTGAGAAGGGTATCCAGAGACCCCTCCTTCCTACAGGGCATGGTTTTAGATGATCTGCGACTGCTGCTGTGAAATGAATATGCCAAGAGGTTAATAGATGAAAGCACAGGCCTCTTATCAACAGGGAGAGATGAAACATGTCTAGATGAGAGCTCTCAAGCTGCGGGGAAAGCCAGACACCTGGTAAATGTGGTAATGAAGAACACAGCACAGAAGGACTTCAGGATTCATGAAGGAGAGAGGTTTTTGTCCCCTGGTTCTCACGAACTTTGCTACTTTATTTGGTTTAAATGCTTACCAGTCAATAGAAGCAAATCCAAACATCTCCCATAGCCCTCCCTGCAGAGAAGGTTCCTGCTAAACACAGAGCTACTCTGCAAGAGCAGTATACCAGGAAACTCTTCTTACAAATTCCAGTTTCTGGAGGTTCTTCAGTTTTATATCGCTCAGCTGTGGGGACTTAGCTGGGAGCTGCCAGGTCCCCATGCCCTAGAGAATATGTCTAATAATGAGAAAGGTTCACATTACCTGTCTGACTCCAGGGTGACGGAGGGAACGCCCAACCTCACCCCCAAGGGAAGATCCTTCATGTTCCCAGGTAGACCCTTTCTGATCTCATCTTTATCTAGATCCAGATGCTGACTTACATCCAGAGAAGAGCTGTTGTGAGGCTGCAGGAAGAGGGAAGAATGAGATCCTCAGCAGATTTTTCTTACTGTAAAGCCCCTCCTCTAGCCCTGGCTCCCAACCTGCGGTCACAAAGACACTCTTGAGAAGTCATGTGTGTTTCCATGGTTCCAGCCACCTGCTATTTGCTCCCCTCCTGTGGAAGGGCACCCGAAGTAGTTTAATCTCACATATAACAACATGACTAGCATTAAGTTTATTATTCAAGGTGAAACCCAACTCTTTACCCCGTTCATTCTAGACAATCATAATAAACAAGAGACGCTGCTGCTTGGACTCCCTGCTGAAGACTGGCAATTTTCTGGCAGCCCTTTACTGTCTCAAAACACACACAAGTTTTCCAAAGACAAAGGGGCCAGCAGCACCTTTCCCTTCTTGCAGGAAGGGCCTGACGACCTCAAAACAACTGTGCCATGAGCAAGCAGAAGCCCCCAGAGAGGATGGTCGCATCCAGCATCCACTTGGAGAGTTGCATGTTTGGCCATCTAACCTTTGCTTTTCTGTTTGCCACCAAGCCAGTTCTCTCTCTCAAATCTAACGCAACAGCAACTGGGAAGATGGGCACGCTGGCTCATGCACAGCCCTGCCTGGGCCCTTTTCTATCTCTAAAAGGCTCCGCGTCAAAGGGAAGCAGGGAAGGAGAGCGAAGCTGTAAGGAGGCGACATGTTTCATGAAACAAAGCTCTGTACAGCCCCTGACTGGCACCAGGACCCAGCCAGGCTTTGGGTGCATATGAATCTATGGCTGTGACAGAAGATCATGGGACAGCATGGATTCTCCAGCACAAAGGTCGGCTCTGCCTTACCCTGAGCATGATGGACATCACTGAATGTAGCAGAAGCGAGCAGTTCAGCGTCCCTCCCTCCAACTCAGAGAGGTGCAGGTGGTGTAACCTTGCCAGTGTCTCTGGGACGGGAATGTTGGCTGGAGCAGAGATGGGGAGGGAGAGTGAAAGATCATTCCTAAATGAGCAGCTGAGAATTGTGGAGTTGTGACATCCAAGGCAAGGTTTTCTGGATGGATTGTTCTCCACTTTGGCATCAGAAAACAGAGCTCAGAGATAACGATAGAGCAGTAGCAAAGGTTCTGCTTTACCTTTTATCAGCATCTGATGATGATGAGTAATTTCTTCACAGAGTAGCATGTGCTGCTGCAGTTGCTGGATCACAAAATCCTTCTGGCTCAATAGATTCTCCTTGAACAGTGTATTTGCCTGCAGCTCTGTGTTGCCAAGCTCAAGCTCATGGGCTCTGCAGAGGAGGCTTAGCACCTCCTGCTGATCCTCACTGGTGATTTGTCTGGGGAAAAACTCCTCCGTCTGGGAAGCTTTTTCCTTGACATTTGCTAAGTGGTGCTCCAACTCTGTCTGAAAAAGGTAGATAGGGAGCTGTTAAGGCAGTTCAGCTTCTTGGGATAACAAAGGCATCTGAGAAAATCTGTGCTGTGTCCTTCACGCTGATATTAAAGTAACATCTACAAAAAGCATTTTGCTTATTTTACTAGCAGCCACCACGTTTCCGTTATGGCAGACACATCAAGTACAGTCCTTGCCTAGAGGAGCTCACAAATGTTAACATTAGCTACCAAAAAAATAATCACCAAAAGCGATTACCAAAACATTGAACAACCAGTGAGTGACAAACCCTCAGAATGTCCCTGAAGGGGGAAATGGGAAGAATTAGCTCACTTACGGGTGGGCAAGCCCAGACAGTGGGACTGTGGTTTTCCCTCATCCTAAACAACACAGGGACAGAGGCAGGATGCAAACATCTGTGGTCCCATGCCGCTTCTTTCAGCAGCCCAAGGTATTTAGGAGTCCAGCTGCAATACAGGTGCCACGCCGCTAGCCTAAAACCACAAGAACCTCTCCGAGTTGCGCGGCTGCCATCCTGCCCCCACGCACCCGCCGGGCAGCGGTCAGACTTGTGGCCATGAGGGCACCTTCGACCTCCTCACCTTCAGGGCCACCGCCTTGCGCTGTTCTGCCAGCAGCAGGTTGATCTCTTCTCTTGCTACTGTAACTTCATGAGGCCCAGGTGAATCTATGACATCCACTTCCCTGTCTTCCTCCGCTGTGTTTTCATCCTTCTCCTCCTTTGCTGGCTTGTCATACTTGCATGCACCCTAAGCCTTCTCTCATTCCCAGAAAAAAAAAAAAAAAAAAAAAAAAGGAACTTCTAGGACATGGTGACATAACTTGAATGATGCACACATAGTCCCTCATTGTGTCTGTCCAACTTCTTGCACGGCAGCAGTGGAGCTAATTAGTCCAGGCTGCTTGGTAGCTGGACAAACCACGCAGAAGAGCACAATTAGCTTCCTGCCATTTGGAAATGTGTAAGACAGGCCTCCAATGTGATCTTCCCAAGGAGAACAGTGCTTTTCTCAAATTCTCATCACAAATGGTTGCCAATTCACAGGTACTTCTTGAAGACCTTTAAAGTCCTAAAGACTATTTTCACTACAAATGACCCAAATCCTAAGGGACTATAAAATTTACAAAGGATTAAATGGGTGACTAATGATAATGAGAAGGAACTGACACCTACTTACAGTTTATCCAGAAGAAAGGGATGGTGTTGCTTTCTCTGACATGAAATTATGCCCAGATGCAGTGCATCTGGATGGAAAACACAAACACAGAGTAACCAGAAGGTGGGAGGACCAACAATCCCAGTCTGTGCTGCCATCCAGTTTTTCCATTAAAACACAACTCCAAATAGAGGCGAGCACCATTTATACTTTTAGTCTTGAGCTTAAACTTTACGATAGAGGTAGCTGGTGGCCTTACAGAGCTACATCGGGCAATTGCACTGCAGTGCAGCACCATGTGCAGGCTGCAGTCTCCTTACAAGCACCAGGAGGGATTAGGGATGTGTTTCTTAATAGCAGAAGTCACCCGTTCCAAATAGAGCACCTTAATCTGAGGCTTGGAGTTGCATGGACTTAACCTACCTTAAATCCCTGGGTACCTTTTGCAGACCACCACTCTTCCAAGTTTTCCCTCTTCACATAGGTAAATCTCAAACCTACACTTGATCTTTCTGCTTGAACAATTAAACACTCTCTTTAACAACATCCTTTGGTCATTTTTGTTGGGGCGACCGTGGGATGTTATCATTTCTCATGGTGAGTTTGGAGGTCCACGTATAAATTGTGCTCAAAGCTAAGAAGCTACTCACTCTGTGATTGTGAGGAGGTGCCTGCAGGTATCAATGTGCAGCTCAGTGTTGGTGTTTTCCAGCTCCATCAGGCTGCGACGCATCTCCATTTGCTCCCTGAAAGCCCCCATCAGCTGCGCCCGCAAGGTGTTTATTACTTGGCTGCTGGGTGCCACAGAGCCTGGGTGCCCCTTTGCTGCAGGAGAAGACATTTCTTCTGACGTTAGGCCAGGTAAACTTCTGCCAAGACCCCACAAAGCTACTGTGGGACCAAGCCACTCAGTCCATGTGTTACAAGGCATTCGTTTACAGGACTCCGTTTCATTCTGCAAGCTCTTCAAGGTAATCATGTGCTTAAGATATCTGATATATCTTTGTGATTGTATTATTAGCAATAAATAGGTCTCATTGCTACTGCTTTTGTGAGTATTAAGAGGATACTGCATTGCAGGGACATCTCTTCTCCCTTTCTTCCCGCCCACAAGAATAAAATACCCGTTTTCTGTTCTTGTTATCTAGAAATGACCTTGGGTATTGGTAGCAGAGACCTATTATACCTCGTGTCTCGTCTGTCAGAACTTGACTATTTTTATTTCATTCCTTGCCAGATTCACTGATAAAAGGAACAATCCCCAGGGCAGAACAATCAATGTTTTAAAAGCTTCACCCTGCCCCCCTCCCTATTTTATTTTTTTTTTAATTAAGTGCAGCGAACCATACAACAGAGCTCTGTGTCCTGACACGGCCTCAGAGCCTGCGATGACGCAGGATACAAACTCTGTCACCTCTCCGTAAGAGTCAGGACTTCCCACAGCAAATGCCACCACTCGATGTCAAAGCTCTTTTCAAGGGCAGGTTTGTGAAATTTAACACATTTTAATGTTGGGGAAGATGCTGAGCAGGTTGAATGTGTTGTCCGGCATCACACAGCACATCAGAGACAGGCTCACACAGAAAGACAATTTAATTTCCCCTCCTACCTCCTCTGCCCATCAGACTGTGTTCTCCGCTCTGCTTCTGTACAAGCATTGTTGAACCGGCTTCCCCCCGCTACGTCTGCGTGGAGGCCCACCAAGCGCTACCACAACACATCCACACAGCTCCTCTCCCAGCTCCCTTCCCTCCAGATACCCCGGAACAGTTCTTGCTCCTGACTTTACCTTGCAGATCCCCGAGGTCAGAGCTGCCTGCGCTTTTCTCCTTCTCCTCGTTTTCAACCCTTGCCTTCAGATGCTCTGTCTCCCTGTGGGGGTCCGCGATGATGCTGGTGTATTGGTCAATGTGGTAGGAGATGTTCTGCAGGTTACATTTTACCTGGTGAGCCAGAATATGGGAGCATTTGTCCCCCAGTCCGTTATTGGCTATGCTATGCTTTCACCTGAAAGGACATTAAACCCTGTGATGGGGAAGATTTTTCCCTCATGAGTGGGGAAACTGTATATTAGTGGTTTTCCCTAATTCTGGGAAATTTCCAAAAGGTAACAGAGAAAAGCCAGGGACCCTGTGCCCACAGGGAAAACACAGAGATCCACAAAGAGTAAAAACCCTGTTGTAGATCACTGTTCATCTTCCTTCACCCCACCAGCCTCTCCATTTTAGTCCTCCTTTCTGCAGCCCCTCAGCTCCTCTTCCAGGCCCAGCATCCCCACGGGGACATTGCCCATACGTTGTCCTCCCAATGGCCATCTTCTGACCATGATTCCATATATTCTGCACCCAGGTCCGTACCAGGCACATCATCCTCTGCCTTTCTGTTATCCTGCTCCCTTGTTTTGACCCTCATATTCCTCTTCTCATCCACGACCCACACAGTTTGCTTTCCACCGTTCCCTTCATCCGCTTTTTTTCTATCACTCACACTGAGCTTCTGTACAATCCTGCACTGCCCCCTCCTGAAGCCTGTTCTCCCTTCAGCCACTGCATCTTCTATTTCCACTTTGCAAGCTTTTAATCTCACCCCCCCGCCTCCTTGTGAGTTGTTTGCTCATTTACCTGTGTCTTGATGTTTTTTGGTCAGTAGGCGTAGATCAAGGCCGTTGGAGATTCTTCAAAGGAGGTACCGGCTGGGCTGATATGTGCAATCATAACAGTCCTGCTGTTGCCCCCTAATGAGTCCTAGGAGGGATGCAACGTTGACGTGGTTAGTGTGGACACGACGGGCGCTTGCGGCTCGGTGGTAACCACTGTGGCTGGGTACTCCTGCGGATCATTGAGATTCTGGTGGAGAATCTCAATTAAGAGTGAAGGAAGTGCTGGTAAAAGATCATTCATTAGGCCTCCTCTCCACCAACAGCAAAATCAATAAGTAATTAACTTTCTACAAGAGAAGAATTTTTGCAAGAAAATGGCAAATTTCCACAAATGCGCGGGCAGCTTCTCAATTCTGCTCACAACAGAAGCCTGCCTTTTTCTCCATCTCTTCTCCTCCCCACTGTTCTCTGGAAAACACATCTGCCATGCAGCAGCAGTGCTAGCTCAGAACCAAGGCTTGAGGTGAGGTTCATAAATGAGGTTGTAAAGTATCCATAAAATAACCAGTGTAGCAAAGAGCATGTCTGCAACCTTTCTGATTTCCTCAGGGAGAGACAACTTATGACAGCACATAGTCACTCTCTGTCTTTTTTCCCCTTGCCCCAACAACATCCAAATTTATTGGCCAATTTCAGCCAAATCTTATAGAAAGGAAGAAACATTTAAAGGCAGTAAGTTAATAAAAAAAAAAAACAAACAAAAAACAACACCAAAACCTACTGGTTATCTGTGAGCTTAGAAACATATGACCCAAATCTATAGGATTTCCTTAACCCTATAGGAGGCCCTTCCTTAACCGCAGAGATCGCAAGACCACGCGCCTGTTACAGAGCGCGCACTGTCTGAATCAAGCCCTGGTTCTATTGCAAAGCTCATGCAAGATCCTGGAGGAGTGTTCCAAGCTGGATAAAGACAAGGCACAGAGATATTCAAGGATCAGCTCTCAAGCCCTGTCTGATTTGGGTGGTGATACCAGCAACAGACACACTGAGCTCCTTGCTGACCCGCCGTCTGCAGTACCTTCCGCGGGCGTGTGAGTTTGCTGTCTCGAAAGTTGACAAACTGGGCTCGGCTCCCCCCTTCTCGCTCAAAGCATTGATGCAGTTGCCCAAAGCCAGCAGCGAGCGGTTGATGTGAGCTCCTTCCTTCATCCTCTTGCCCCGGTTCTGTGTCTGTTGGGAGGGAGCAGGGGCAGACAGACAAAGCACAGGCTTCAGAAGGGTGGGTCTGTGCCTGGGGAGATGTGCGGCATCGCCCCGGGGCCAAGGTTTGGATGTCAAAGCAAAATCAACCTGAAAGTGCAGGGTTAAACCCCACTCTGGAGCACAGAGATGCTGGTAGGAGTACATTTCTTGGAAAAGATGAACCAGCTCTGATCTCTTGGTTCATAACAGATAGCTATTAGTTATCTTCCAAATACGATTTCAGAAATTAAGGTGCGTAACTAGGTCACTCCAGAATTCCTAGTCTCAGTACAAACACTGGGTATGTAAAATCTCTCTCCCTCAAATCACCTCCCTGAGTTCCAGCGTTTCCTCCTTCCCGTGGGAGCCAGCTGCCTTATTTTCCTCCCAACAGCATCCCTGTGTTCCACTGGTACCAGCTTCCTCTCCGGCAGCCCAGCCGATCCCTGCCTAACAGACCCCAGGGTGTCTTTAAATGTGAAATTCGCTGCTGCTTTTTCAGACCTGAGCAAAGGCTGCTCCCAAAAGCTGGTTTACATTTTTCCAATTATACTGGTTGGTCTAACAAATGGTGTTACCTATATCACCAAACTTTGTCTATTTTTAGGCTGTTGCAGGTACAAACTACTGCCGTAAAGCAACAGAGAAACACACGGTGCTGGTTTCCCCGGGGCTGAGAACACGCATGCAGACCCTGCCTGGCAGGCCAGGGAATCCAGCCTGGTCTCACCAAAAGCTGCCGAGCTCCAGCCATACCTGGGCCGCTCTCTCTGACCCTGCCAAGACGACCACGAAAAGCTTTCCAATTCTCAATTCCTCGCCGATCGCCTGCCTTTGCCTTTTCTGCGTCACCGTCCCCTGCAGCACCGCGTGCGAGCGGGAGGACGTCTCGTTGGCAGCAGTGGGCTCCTGGGTGCGTTGCTTGTTTCCTTTCATTAACAGTTGCGTGATCCAAATGACGCAGAAAAGCACGCAGAGATGTGCAGCTCTGCCCGAGCCATGGCACGGCGTTTCCCCGCAGACTGAACCCCTCGCCCAGCGCACAGGCAAACTCTGGTTGTGCTCAGGCCAGCGGGGATTTTGCTGTTGTTTTTCCCCAGATCTCCCCCTTTAGCTTCTGACCTTGGAAGTGCGGGTGTGTTGGGTTTGGGGCCGTTTTCCTGGGAGGCCGTTTATCTCCTGTCCAACACACATGTAGATGTGTGCATCCGTGTAGCTCAAGGGGGTTTCGTTATTTCTTCTCCCTCTCCAGATTGTTTGTTGACACATGTGCACACAAGTCAAAGCACTCTTGTCCTTCCAGGAAAGCAGCACGCACCCTGGGGAAGGAGCTAGCAGGAGGTTAACTGGAATTTTAGCCCGGTCTCTACCACTCACGTGGCTCCATGATCAGCCCTTTCCTTACAATTCATCCATTAATCCAGTTCCACCAAAGTCCTGCTACAAAAGGTTCTTGCTACTGAGTAAGGCAGAGGCGATAGGAAAGTGTCAAGGAATTTTAAAGCACTGATACCATGAAAGCACAAACCCCCTCCCTTCCCCCTCACCGTGGACCATAGCCCATTGTACCTCCTGAACATTTGTAGTGAAGACTTCTGTAATTCCTGCTATCTGGATGCTGCCTCTGGGGTCCTCTCTCAGGTCTAAGAACCCCGAGGATGGGTTCAGGAAGTCACGGATCACTTCATTATAGATCCGAGGGTAAGAAGTGAGGGGTTGGTGTGAGACTAACATTGAGTCCTTAGATCTGCAAAGAGGGTTGAGTTGATCCTATATTTCTTTAGGGTGGAAGGGAAGAAGGGAAGATTTGAGCTGTACAACCCAAGGGGAGTGCCACTCGGTGGACATACTTGGATGCCCCATACAAGTGGATGCCCCACTTCCCATTACACCCGCTCCAGGGGCTTGCTGAATTCCCACAGAGCCTGGATCCAGGGCAACACAGACACTTCACCTCCAGGTAGGACATGGAGACTCTGTAATCCATCTCCTCGGTGGTAGCTCCACAGGCCTTAAAGAGGTCATCAAGAGTGCGGATTTAAATCCCTGGTTCACAGTCCGTCCCTAGCATCGTGTAGGTTTTTCCTGTTCCTGTCAAAGATACAAAGAGGAGCAGCAAAGACCAACTTCCATGTGAGCAAGTTTCCACAGCAAATAAAGCCTGGTTTCCTACTGATTTCTGTCCTTCATCCCCTAACTTCCTCCCCACAATGACACTGCTGCAGGAAAGACATGGCATGTGCCATCCCAAATGGGTAGGAAGAGGACTTGCAGATGGGCAGACAGGTAGCTTAACTGCCCACCTACGTGTTCAGAACTAGGGTAGAAATGTAATTTCATACAGTCTGTAGGTGCTTTCTACACATGTATCTATTCTCCTGAGAGGTCTCATGCACAGAGGCCCTCATCTCCTCCTCCTTTTTAATGAGGAGAGTTGTCTCCACTGAATTCCACCCCAGTTAGGTGCCTTCTCAAACAGAGAAGATTTACTGTTACTTTAGCATTAAAGGAAGATCCACACTTCCCAGTGAGAATGGTATTTTAATGCTTCGGTCTTGTCCTCACAGTAAGCAATTAATTGGCGTTATAGTTCATTCCTGTTTTGTACAGATGCATTTTATTCATCTAGAGCAGTACAGCTCCAGGGACTACTGTACCTGTTGGACCGTATGCAAAGATGGTTGCATTGTAGCCAGAAATTACTCCTCCTATCAGGCTTTTGGTTGTGGACACATATACTTCTTCCTAATTCAGTCAAAAAAGCATAAACTTCTGGTCAGGCATAACAGCTGTCCAAACAATCTCTACCTAATTGCATTCCCCATGATTTTCTCACTATGGTTTACAAATTTCCTGGGCTTTGGAACAATTTGAGCCAATTGAATTTTGACACATCATCAAAATGGGCAGAAAAGCACAGAAATTTATTGAATTTTCTAAAAGCAGGCAAAATGCAGGAGGCTACTGAAATAGAGGTCTTTAAATCGCATTATTTTCTTGGACTCTGAACCTGGAATGCTTTTGCTTTTCTTTGTGTCGGGTGAAGAAGGGAGTAAGTTCTCTCCCTATCCTTATCCTTCAGCGAGAAGTGCCACTGTAGTATACGACGGTGCTACGCTGAAGTTTCACGTGGAAGAGAACACGGATGGCCGAATTGCTTGTGAGAAGCAAGGCTGCAGTCACATCACGGTGACCACAAAATGCAGGTGCTGATGAAATCCTCATGCCACACCTTACATCTGCCAGCAAGCCGCAGCTCAGTAAGGGCACGAGAGCTCACGTCCTGAGCCCGTAAAACAAGGAGAGGCGCAGGGAAGAAGCGTGTGAGCAGTAGAGCTGAGCGACGTGACAGTGGTCTCATTCACCTCCAGAGACAAAGCTCTTCAGCTCTGCTCAGGTGTGTTACATCAGGGGAGTCCCGACGTGGGAGGGAGAGGCAGACCGAGGGCTGCACGTCCCCCCGCTTCTCTGCCAAAAGGAAAAACCTCACAGCCCTCTCACCTTCAGCACTGTCACCTTTTATCTGGGTGACATGTGGCCTCTGGGATGTGCAGTTCTACTCTCCTGCCAAAAACATTCATCTAAGCAGGGAAGACAATTCTAATGTTAAGCATTTCAGTTAAATAAAAAAAAAAAAAAAAAAAAAAAGAAGGATGTTACCTGGGTTGCTCTGTGACCAAAAACCATGTCAAATACAAATGTTTTTTCTCGGGATCTGTTAGCTCGCAAGATGTCATCTTGGTCTTCACTTGGATCCATCAGGACCACCTTCTGTTATAAAATAAAGTCAGAAGGACCACCGTTACGTCTGGGTTTGGTTAACAGCCTGTTGGGATTTCTTACAGCGCGATCACCATCGCGTCTCCCGGCCAAAGGAGCATCGCACGACAGCGCTGTGTGGAAGACACGCTTGCATGCGCAACGCGGAGGCCAACACGCTTTTTATTGTAACTGATGTCACAGCTTCTGTAATTTGGAGAACTGGCAGCTTCGGATGTCGGTTGTGCGGCGCAACAGTTGCTGGCGTTGGATAACGGCGGTGGTTGCAGGGACAGGACACCCCACCAACCCCCATGCAAGCAGGAGGGGGACAGGACCTCAGTTTTCAGCCAAGATTCAGACAGAGGAGCTGTGAAAGAAAACAGTTACGTTCCTCGGTAGCAAAAGTGCCCAAAGTCATCTCCCAAAGCCTTTCCTGCAGAAGGACTGATAGAAATCCCTGCATTGCCCAAGGACAGAAGCTTCATTCCGTTTCTGGCTTTTATTAAGGAAAATAACAAAGGTGGGAGAGGGCTTGCAGCAGGTTACAGAACTGGTTCTGTTTCATTTCAGTCCCTTAGGATCTATTTTAGTACATAATTATCACGGTATGTAATTACTGTGGAGAATAGTGTTCTTTCTCCCCCACTGAAATGGCTCATAAGAAGATGCTCAGGCCTCAAGGGAAGGGACGGAAAACCCTGTGCTTCCTACTCCAGAGCAGCTTTCACTCTCTCTCAGATAAACAGATCATTAGACAAGCAATTAGAGCATAGATCAACCACGACTTGACCTACAGGATAACTGCACTGGTGTGCCAGGCTTGGGAGAGAGACAAGTATCCAGGGCAAGTGCCCGTGGGCGTTCAGGAAATGTCAAGGCTTTGGTTTTTCTTTTTCTTTTGCATTTCCTGCTAAATTGCAAGTCTCTAACAAGTATCTCTAGTTTCGCTCTGCAAGTTTTCAATTACCAGAATGACTTTTTTTTTTAAATTTTTTTAATTTTCACTGGTCCGGCTCAGGCCTTACAACACAAGGGCAAAGTCTGAAGGAAACTCCTGGTTTATCCTCAGCGGTGGCATTTGCCTGCGAAAGATGGGCTGACACGTAATCATACGCACATGCAAGCGTGACAGCCAAGAGCAGAGCTTGGAGAATGAAGTCAGCATGTTTCCTTTAGAAATTCTCTCTGGCCCCTTTTACTGAGTCCTAGCATCCAAATTTTGCTTGCAGTGCATCCATGCATCCAAAAAGAGAGACCTCCTCTTCCAATCTGGGCCTAACACCTTGTCTAACTAGCAGTATTCTAAAAAGCATAAATCTGCCTTTGGACGGAAGCCTTAAAACGTAACAAGACACTAATAGAGTCAATTCTGAGTTAGGATTAATAAGCAGACAGAAGCAGCTCTAAATGAGTTCAGCTGGGAGTAAAAATAGCAGGGAACATGATGTAAATCAAAATAGACCAAGAAACCTAAGTATTTCAACTGCCCAGTCAATTAATTTGCTTTCATAATTGCAGTAATTTACATTATTAAGAGAAACTCATTCTCATAGATAGAAGATACTCAGGCTAATGTAATGCACATTTCCTTCCCAGATTTCGATTAGAGAAAATAGATTTCAGGGCAGATGATGCAAGTCTGAATAAGCTGTGTAAAAATAAAGCTGATATCCTTCTGAGGTTAATGGTCGCTTTAAAAAAAGACAAGAAAAAAATAAAGGCTATTTCACCAGTAAGGTACTAAACAAAAATTGAACTTGTAAGAGAATCCATAAAGAGGAAAGAGAGATTCATGCTCTCTTTGCTTCTGAGGCTGCTATCATTTGACTATCGCATGGAGACAAGATACGTTACAGAATTAGTGTGCATTCGGAAAGGGCTCAGAGGAAGATCAGCTGAAGCATGATAGAAAAATATCAGGATTTACATTGGAAAAGGGGATAAATAAAAAGGGCACAATAAAAATATGTAAACAGATGTAGCAATGTAGAAAAGGTAAGTGGGGACCTACCATCCTCCTCTTAAAAATCCTCCTGCAATCTCTGCCTCTTAAAAAGAGGAGCAGAAGATGGAGAGCTGGAGAAAAGTAGTGCAAAAAAACGAAGTGCAAAAGGGAAGGTGCTGCGTCACAGGAGTTTTGCAGGATTCAGAAGCCAGAACCTCGAGGTGGGCTGTGTGGTCCCGGCCGAGCCCCCGGTCCCCATCGCGGCAGCCCCCTCCTCCGCGTCGGCCTCGCTGAGGGGGCGGA